ACCCCGCTCTGGCGGTCCAAGAGTGAACGCCCGCGAACTGGTCCGCGGCGAAGCTTTCTCCTCGCCGCGACATGCATGCGGTAACAGGTCGCCGAGCGTTCGAAGAGGTGATACCTGAGGAGGCGGGGTCGAACTGACCCACGGCTTGACGAGCGCCCTAGACCAAGCCGGCACCCCGACGACACCTCGCATATCCGCAGCCGGCATCCTTGGTGAAACCTCCGGCCCAATCGAGTTGGAGTTTGCCGCATCCGCCTTCGGGTAGGAATCCCCGTGCACCTCCGACCCGGTCGAGGCGGAGTTCGCCGCAACCTCCTTGGAGTTCGAATCCCCGCGCGCCTCCGACCTGCACACACGAAAAACCTCACCTTTCCGTCGAGTTGACGATCTCTCCCACACCCTCGACGCCGGCGTCGGGTAGCCAATGTCCGCCCAAAACTCGGCGGCCAGCTTTTCATCGGTCTTCCTCCGACGTACCACAGTAGATTGCGCAGAAGAGTCATCAATAGCGAAGACTTCCCCCACTTGTGGCGCATCGACAGCATCAGCCGTATCCAGGCATGAGAACCTAGATTCAATACCTGGCATCGTCGCCGGCGACCACCCTGGTGCCAGCGTCAGCCGTCGCCTGGAGGCGATCCGCATTCGGTGGAGCCTTTTTTGTCATGGATTTATAACTTGGGGTGCCCCATCATTATATAGAAAGCTAGGGGTGGAAACTTGCAGGGGCACGCCGGTGCAGAGGCACGCACCTGCCCAACCGTGTCAGCCACCCGATTGCCTCGTGATCCATGAAGTCATTCGATCCCGCATGAGGCACGACAAATTTTAAGTTTTAGTTTGTGAAACTTACAATCTTGTCGGTCTTAGGTTCTGAACCTTGCGATTTTGTCGACCGCTCATACCAAGTTTCAGAAGTTAAAACTTAATGAAGTTTCAAAAACTCGTAAACATATTTAGAATGGATCTCATTTGAAACTCTCATCGCCAGAAACACAAATATGCAAACGAAACTAAATTTGAACTTATGGTTCAAAAGATATGAAAGATTGAAAGTCGAAAGCCAAAAAAAGGGGTTGCGTTCCCCGCCCTTGCGTGCTACCTATCCCTTCCTAGGGCAAGGGTACAACATGTCCAACACTGGCATTAACTGTATCCTACCCATGCTAGTACAATATCAAGTCCAAATGTAACCCAACTCGACACAAACTCAACATGCATTGCATTTGTATCACTGTTGTTTTGACAATTATTTTATTCATGAAACAATTCAAAATGCTATGACTATTCAACCAGGCACGAAATTTACAATCCATCCTCATCGTTGAAACCCTCGCGGCGAGCTCTTTGCATTTGACCCCATATGAGTATGTTTTGATGAGTTTCTTTTGTAAGCAACTTTGATACTATACGAAGCAACTTCCAGAGAGGGAATGGGAAGAAGGACACAATCACGCCATCCACCCGATCAAGGATACTCCGGCATCAACCTTCATCATTATCATCCACGTCCTCATCACCAACACCCCATTCATTTCTCTGTAATACCAAGGCCTAGTGTGCATTCATACGTTTGTTACACTAATCCTTCATCTATTATTGTCCTGGCCATTTTGATGATGCTAGTTGTCTCCTTGTCCGAGTAAGCCCCAAAGCTTTCTAAGATATGGAGGAACCCTAGTAGTATGTGTATCAGCTGAACATCGATAAGATACACGATTATCTTCTATATGTTTATGTTAATATTCTTCCCGATGTTATGTGAAGTCCGTCACACTACATTTGGCTTTATGGACGAGAAGGATATTACTATTGTTGCGATGGTGGGTTGATCAGGTACTATGATGACAGAAGATACTTCCCTCCTTCCTTGATCTCTAATAGGGGATTAACGGAGACCACATTTATTCGCGTCCACGGGGAAACTCTTAATCTTGTTTTCGTGACCTGAATGTGGGGAGGAACGATGGTGACGTATGTGACACACAGCTACTGGATGTATGCATGTATCTATGTTGGCTCCATTCACTAATAAAAACATTTGAGGTGAATTCTAAACATAAAATTATGTATTTGCGCAATCACGTAACACACATACTAGTGGTGGATCCGAATTCACTGAGAACGTGTTAGCCCTATTACAGATTTCATCATTTCCATTATTCTCTTGTACTTTTACTTTATTCTTGCGTACTTGATTTTCAGTCACAACCCCCTTACAATACTTCAACTTCCGCATTCACTGTTGATTTGGACCACAACTAGCTTGCAGGCACATTCACTATTTGCTTATAGCATTGCCACTCATCATCACATCCTGTCATTTGAACTGTCTCCCCGATGGCCGTCATCACGAATTTGCAACCCCTCATGGACATAATTGACACTTCCCATGAATCTTGTGTTGGCACCATTGTAAATCAAATGTTTCAACATGTGACACTAATGAATCCAAAGGTTGCTATTACAAAAGTAGCGTGACTTAACAAGGATGTTGTATTAGGAGTCAATTTTAGAACGAAAATGCTAAACTCACCTTGATTTCAAAAAGAAAAGACCTTCCAAGGTTAGCCCTTCGAGGCATTTTTTAATAGAAGAGAAATCCTTAAGCACCATGTGCCAACCAAGGCTCACTCCCTGTAGATGTAGCATTACACACAAAAAAGAATAAGGAAGGATTTAGCAACTGTGTGGTCCGTAAGGAACTTTCCGTAGATGTAGCATTGCGCACTTTAGGACCAAAGAAGGATAAAAAATGCTGCACTTACGGAAAGACTCGCACGGATTGATTTTAAGAACACATTTCTCACCAATCGATCTATGATTTTCAGGGGTGGGTCTCCCTCCTCCCTAATCTTCTTCAATCATAAGTTCACACATCAGTCCGTAAAAGCTATCGTGTGAGAATCCTTCCGTAAGCCTAGCAAAGTCGAAGAAGGATTTAGCAAGTGTAAATTTTGGCTCTCCTATTTTTACTCTACTTTTAGTTTTAAGTAAGCAAGAGATTGATTGCGTGGTAGGAAAGAAAGGAAACTACCAAGCGAGGGATTCTTTGCATATTATATACTTACTAGCAAATATACCCGTGCGTTGCAACCGAAGACAAAAAATTATGGCTCACCAAATAAGTATGACTCGATATCCTGATATATGAGCATACTCTATTTTAACATAGTGGCTCACCATGTTGCCATTTATTTATTTTTCTCACCCTAGACGATGATAGTCGCGATGTCCACATGATCACAATGCATTCCGCGGTAAATCCCAAGGCTATGAATTTGCCGGTGCATGCCACACTTATCATTATGTTGCGCAAGGGAACGTTTAAAACTTTAAAGACAAATCTCATTGACCACGAACTACTCCCAACGCCAAGATATATAAAGACTTTTGTCCTAGACATAAAATACTTTTGAATTAGTGAACAATTTTTTGAATCGACAATTTTGTTTTGAAATTTTTGATTTTCTCAAAAAAAAATCATGAACATTAGTTTTGTTTATAATTTTTTTTAAATGTATGAATCGGTTTCGAATTCATTAACTTTTTTGACTCAACAAACATTTTTTGAATCGACGAACTTTTTTAAAAAAATTGGGGAACAAAATTTTAAAAACAATTTTTATTTTTATTTGTGAATGGACATTTTTTTCAGATTCCCAAATATGTTTTGAATACACGATCATTTTTTTCAAAATCATGAACATGATTTTATTTCCCGACCATTTTTTCCAAATTGTGATTTTTTATAATTTTGTGAACAGTTTTACAAAAACACCAAAAAAAATTGAATCTGCAAGAATTTTATGATTTTCTAAACATTTTTGAATTCACATATATTTTTTATGATTTCTCAAACTTTTTTTGAAAACTCGCAACTTTTAGAATATTATAACAAAATGAGAAAAGAAAAGACAAAAAAGTAAAATGAAAAAAGCAGGGGAGTAAAGCCCTGCACATGGGATTTGAACCCTGGCACCATTGCTACAGGAGAGATCAACCAACCACTCTGCTGCTTATCATTCTGTAACTTATTCTTGTCGCGCCCGTATATGACCACGAAAGAGGCGGTGATTTTTGGTCCAAAAACTTGAATCGTTTTCCCACTTATGAATGGCATTGGTGGGTAATTTTTACAAACTTAAAGGGCAATTTTAATGACGGACGACCAGAAGCGATAGCCGCTTTATTAGTATATATATATATATATATATATATATATATATATATATATATATATATATATATATATAAGGTAAAGATTAACTTCCTGTCAGTAAAGTACTAGTTTTTTAGTTAGTAGTGTGCAATACTGTTTAAGAAATGCATGCAATCTGAGACGTCAGAAAACGTATACTTGAGTCAAACTACACTAGAATAGTCAGTGAAGAACTACACTGAATTATAAAGGTCTTTTCCTTGAAAGAATAGGTTTTTTGCATCAAGAGGCTGCCTCCTGGGCCTGGGGTGTACCAGATGGCCTCCACTCCCACGGCCCATGCCCGACAGCACGAGTTTGCCTTTCGCTCCCACCAAAAACCACCACTTTGTCTCAGGAAAAAAACACAACAACAATGGAACGGCAAATAACAGGGCTGCGTGCCACACGGCTGCTGCTGGGAACAATGGCGCCACGGTCCCAGCATCAGTGTCGCTGCCGCCGGCCGCCATGTCACGCGATCAGGATTCAGGACGCCCTAAGTTCTGTAGTTCAAAGAGGCAACATTAAACCTGAAGAGGAGCGAACTGCAAACTACTTAAAAGTCCTGTTTCCGCATAACATTCTCCACACTAGAGCTACAGGTAAAAAACACGGAGGAAACCAGCCAGGTGTACAGTACATTACAGCAAAGTTCATTTAACTGATGCAAAACTGCAGAGGCAAATCAGGACGCCACTCGACCTTCCAGACATGAACGAACCGACCGACTGACGGCGACGGCAAGGATGCAGAACAATACCCAAGCAAAGCTTTGGGGACAGCCTCACCTCGCTGGTCAGGAGAGCAAGGAAACCAGCGAGACGAACTCCGAGATCGCCCTGCCCTTGGATTTCGTGTTGATGACGAAGTGCTCCGGGTACTTCCTGAGCAGCCCCAGCAGCCCGTACCATGGCCTCCCCTTGGCTTCTATCACCGACCAGTCATCCGCCGTCAGGTACTTCCGCACCCTGCTGTGGTGCCACACATTGCCAAACTGGTCCATAAGCTGCGAGTAGCCAAACAAACGGTTAAGAGATTGCAAACACTGATTGTAACTGTAACAGTTTGCTAAGCTTTTACATGGCTGGGTGAGTGAAGAAAAAGGAGATCATCAGAAAAGGGAAACTAAAACAAGGGGGTTCTGAATTGGCAGCCGGTGGTAAGCAGAACAACATCAGTAATCATGATAATGTTGTGACCTGAACCAGAATAGAAAGGACATCCCAGTATGTAGCACTAGTATTAATAAATTTAACAGTGAAAAATTTAAGATAGCTATAACAAGATATACTTGCAAGTCTTTCCCATTACTTGTACAAGACTATGTAAGTATCAGTACAAAATCTTCTGCCGCGAGTCACAGCTCCACAAATCCCAAGCGACAACATTCAGTGCAAAACATGTTCAGAGTGACAACTGACAAATGAGGGATGGTACCAGGCAGAGTCATGCATTAACATGCTAAAAGCCCTATTATAGCCTATGCGCCTACAACTGGATGCCTTCATGAATTTATATGGTTGTTTTGATAAGCTATTGTACATACACCTACGGGATACAACTAAGCTACTCCCTTCGTTCACTATTATAAGATGTTTTGGATATTTCAACATGGACTACAGCGGACTGAAATGAGTGAACAAACACACTAAAATGCGTCCATATACATCTAATTCAGAAAAAAGTTAGAACATTTTATAATAGTGAATGGAGGGAGTATTAGACAGGCAGGGATGCTAGCACCTGACTTCTATCCCTAGATGATATTCTCAGAATGCAGTTTAGGTTATTATCCTTTTGAATCAATAAGTCATTTGTTAATGTCATCAGTTGTAATGATATTCTATTTCAAAAAATTAAACTGAGATGATACCGCCTTGCCCCTTTAATGTATCAAAAGAGTAAGCTACTTTCTGTGCATTTAAAATTTCCAAGCCAGAGTTAGATCCAGTTGTTTCACACAAGACGGGTTGGACTAATTTGGGGTAATATAGCATACCTTAGCTTAAACATAGAAGTGAGATACGAAATATGTGTGTTTTTCCATGACAAACCTCTGTATGGAGTGTTTTCATAGGCATCCATTCTCCGGGGCCACAGAGGTCAGATAACACAGTCGCAACAGATGACACGACTTCCTTCTCTTCCGTTTGAAGGTGCTGGTTGTCCACATCCTTGTCACCCCTTGATCTTATTTCTGATCTGTTGTCTGCAAAAAAAGAAGTCAGTTCAGTTCAGATCAAACAAATACTTCCTCACATGTTAAAAGGTAATGATTTTGGTCTTTCAATGGAATAAGCTGAAATAAACAGAATGCAGTAACAGCTTTGGAATCGAGGTCCAGAACTGCAAACAGGAACAAAGTTCACCAACAGCTTCTAGACCTATATCATGGAACGGAGGGAGTACAATTTATTCATAGTTCTTGACAGTATGTCAGCTGCTACAGTGATAGAAATAGCCTAGATAATGTACTTTAATTTATCTCTAGACAATAAGAATGGAAAACATCAAGACATTCAGATTGAAGCATCTGGATGTGTATCTTTTGATGTGCAAATATAACTGCATCTCTGCTACCTTTTCTCTTAAAGGTAACAACATAGGAGATGCAGTTATGTTTACACATCATGATAAATAAAGCATAATGCTCTTACATAATAAAACTTGCAACAGCAACTAATAATGTATGCTGACCTACAGTAAACGTCTAGTCAGAGTTCCATAAGAGAATTATACAGATAGATAGTTCCCGTAACAGTACATTTACGTTATAATGTGTATATCTGTCTCTAATATGAACGTTGGCATATCATCTTTAATCATTATATTACTATAACCACATGAAAAGGTACAGCTAAATTTGAGTGCAAAATCATCATCAACTCTGCATATCTTTTAGAAGAAAAAAAAGACGATGAGCAAGGATAATGTATCACCTTCACCCAATGTTCCTATTGCTTCAACATTGATTCTGTGCCCACCATAGATGTCCAAATCTCCGGGAGACTTCTTGGTTCTCTTCAGCTTGCCCTTCATTCCACCTTCCCCAACACCATTCCCAATGTCATCACTGTCCCGGCCATAATCACCTTCAGAGAAGCGGTCATGGAAATCGGGCACACGAGGGTGCCCTGGCCGCGCATAAGCTAGCGGCGGGATCTGCGGAGGAATAACAGGGGCTTGCCGAGCAGCGAACGAGGCAAAGATAGACCTCGTGGGCAAGAGGAAATAAAACTTCTTGTCTCCAATCTGAAGGAGGTCCTGCGAGTCAAGCTTAACAGGAGGGTTCCCAGGGAGGTGCAGGACACCCTCAACCAGGCAGCCGTTCTTGCCGATGACATCCAGCGCGAAGCGGCGGCGCTGGAAGTCGTAGAATATCCGCGCGTGGTGGCGCGAGATGTTCATCCCCCCACCAAGGCTGGAGAGATCCACATCCACCGTGGATTTCTTGCTGTTGCGGCCCAGCATGATGGAGTAGGTCTGCATGTAGTACTCGAAATCCTCACCCTGCAGCTTGGCGAACCCTGCCTCCACCTCGCCGTCGCCGACGGAGGATCCGGCAGGGATGGCACCGGCACCAGCGGCGGACTTGACGTTGGGCATATCGGCTTCAGTTGGACCCTCGATTTTCCGACGGGATTAGCCGCCGCGCCTCGGACCGATCTTGCGCGCGGAAGTAGAGGAACCTAATCGGACCATGGAACAGAATAATTATTAGTATGGCACAAAGCAGCAATCAATCGGCGATTAGCTGGACGGGCAACGAAAGAAAGATTCAGGTTTTGATTCTGATTGCTCACCGCCACAGCAAGGAAAGAATCCCAAAAACAAATCAACACCCTAGAACAGTTCGTCCGTCAAGCTAGGGTTTCCTTACCAAGAACAAAAGAGGAATTAATCGACGCTAATCCAGTGCCAGTAGGCAGTTGCCCTTTGCTTTATGCGCCCCGCCCCCGGCCCCGTCGCCGTCGGCCCGGGAAATTGCGGGGAAGAGAAGAACAACGAGTGGGAGTGGGGAAGAGGGCGTCCGAGGGGAGAAATCAGTGACGATGAATAAGGGAGAGGGGAACTTTCTTTACAAGATGATGATGAACACCGTCGACATGGAGATGCCGGAATTCTAAGCGGTGCACCATCACCTGAATCCTCACAGATCAAGGCCCGATACTAATTCAATTTGCGAGCTTCTGAAAAGAATTTGAGTAAATTTCTCAGAACCAGCGAGTATAATAGCTAGTGTTTGGTGGACAACCATGAGGATGGAGTTATCTTTGTCCGCTCATGAGAAAAAGTGCTCACACCTGCACCTGAATCCAACGGCAGCTAATGCTCGACGGATACTCTAGGCAAATAACAAATCAACATTCATCACAGTAACCAATCAATATATTTTCTCCTATTAGAGAAAATAACAAATCAGTATCATCAGAAAATAACAAATCAGTATCATCATATCAGCTAACGCGTCGACCTAAACGGACGACGCTTTTATTCATTTTTTGTCCGTTTAGATCGGTCGCCCGCTTGGCGTCTGCCCTTTCTAAGATTTGAGTAGGAGGTGCGTCCAATGGCGATGACCCATTTCATGTCCGCACATAAATTTTGAAAAAGGCCCGCGGCCATAGATTATGCCAGCGGCCATGTCATCGCCTGAAGTTCATGTTGGCACCATACCAGCGCCGGCATACAATACCAGCTTCAGAAAAACAGCACGCAGTTCAGTTGACGCACTTGCCAACGGCCGGCACACATGCCAGCACACAGAAAAAAGGTGGGAGAGTTCGACCATGCCATCGCGGCCGTGGTCATGCCAGTACACTTGCCGGAATACAAAAAAGGATGGCGCTCGCCGTCATAGATCACTAGTCGTCAAATTTGAGCATGTCGACCTGCATCTTCTCGAACCACGGCCTCTTTCTTGGCGACACGGTGTTGAGATCCACCTTGATGATCTTCACCCCCGTCATCATGCTCATGAGAGCCACTTCTTTCGCCTTGGTCTTGGCGTTGGCGGCCTCGATCTCTAGCATCTTGGCTTGTTTCTCCGCCTCCATCTCTAGCATCTTGGCTTGCTTCTCCACCTCCATGTCAAGCCTCCTACTTTGGATCTCCATGAAGGCGTTCATTTTGTTCTTCCTTGTATCGTCGGCGCTTCTCCTCCCTTGAGTCCTTCTTGGTCATCATGCCCTCCACGCTTGCGATCAAGGCGTTTGATGCCTCATCCCGTTTGTCCTCCTTCTTGGAGTTGGTCTTCCCCCGCGGTCGTGGCTTCTCGCTGTCTTCCTCCTCCACGGCCTTCTTCCCCCCACGCGACTTGAGGGCGGCATATTGCGCCTTGAACTTCTCCTCGTCTTTGATAACCCTCCAACAATGGGAGAGGTTGAAGCACTTGCCATCACGTTGGACCTTGAATGCCTTCAAAAGTTCAAAGCTTGGAATGCCTACAAATGAATTGCATGCAAGCATATTGGCAAATGGATATGGAAATGGACATGCAAGCATAAACGGAATGACACAAAAGAGGGCCGCTTGCTAGCATACCATGTCTTGCATGCCGATGCCGCTCACGGGGCGTGCATTGATGCTCTCAAGAGTGGCACAAAACTTGTTGCACTCTTGTTAGATCACCTTCCAACGCTTTGAAATGGACACCCATCCGCGCGTGCTTTGCATTTGGTATAGTGGAAACTTCTTGCACTCATGGAACTCACGATGGACACGAGTCCAAAAGGTTGATGCCTTTTGTTCGGTGCCGGTCTTGGGGTCTTGCCCAATGTCCCTCCAACACTCAACAAAGAAGCTTGTCCTCGGCCGTCGTGTACGTCTTGGTCCGCCTGCTCTTGCACTTCAGCTTCCCCCAGGCGGCTTGGTTGGCGAGCTCGTCCTCGAACAAAGACTCCCCTTCGATGTCCAACTCATCCTCTTCCTCTTGTCCATAGTCGTCTGAAAACTCATGGTCGAGTGGGAAGCAGTCCAAGCCGACCTGATCATGCATGAAGGCGACCTGATCTTGATCAAAGGTGGACGGCGTGAATGGCCCTCAGTTGTCCTGGCTTTGTGTCTCTTCGGGATCATAGCCGGCCACGGCGACACCGCCAGCGAACGCTGCACCACCCTCGAAGATGATGTTTTGCATGTAGTCGTCGTTGCCGGAGGCCGGCATTCCGTCGAACAGGTTGCATGCGCCCGGCACCATGTCGTCTGGCATGTGTCGCGCGCGTTTCCTCACCCCTCCTGATGACGAGCCATCGGCCATCGGTGTGGCGTTGAGGTCGATGGGACACGGGCACGGGCGTGGAAGACGCCACCATGCTCACCTCGGGCGACCACTCCCTGGAGAATCGGGAGGCCTGCGGGTAGACGTGGAAACCGGGCATCGGTTGCGTCACCGACGCATGGGGTGAGTCAGGCAGCACCATCCGAGGAAACCCAGAGGAGCCGGTTCTAGCCGCGGTCACGGCGGTGTTGACGAGGTCGTGCTGGCCAATGTTTAACCCTAGGTACACCAGCGCCTCCCTCGTTGCCGCCGTGACGCGGGCATTGGTGGTCTCCTACTGCGCGGCGGCGGCGATGGTGGCCGTCGCGATGGCTTCCTCCCTCGTGTCCGTCGCGTGCCTCCAGCCCTTTCTCTTCGCCGACTCTCTTGCCCACTCGTCGCTCGTCAACTTCTTCTTCGGCTTGGGCGCGATGGCGGTCTTGCAGGGGGCGAGGCTTGCCTTTGCCGGAGGGGGCGGTCGTGATGCCGGACAAGGCGAGGGAAGCGAGGCCGGTGGCGGCATCGAGGCCGACGTTCATGGTGAGCGGCGGGAGCGGCGGGAGCGTGCGTGGGTGGGATGGTTTTGGGGGGAAATGGAGGGAAATGATGGAGGTCGTCATCGACCAGCGGGACAGAGGGAGGAGTAGGTGGGCGTGCGTCCATCTCGTGTCCGCGCCGATGCAAATCTGGCTCAAAAATGGGTCGGAAATGGGTCAGCAGGCGGATGAAAAGCGGACGCGCGTCCGTTTGGGTCAGCGCGTTGGGCCGACATTTTTGTCTGCGCCGACCCAAACGGACGCACGCAGACGAAATGGGTCGTCGCGTTGAAGTTGCTATAAGGCCAGAAAAGGAAAAAGAATGGATATAAAGAGAGAGAGAAAAGGACGAAAAAAAACGACTGCAAAACGGTGGAAAACCGAAAAGAATAGAAAAGGGAAAATTTTACATGGGTTATCCAAATGAAAATTAAATTCCAATTCACCGGATCTATGTTTGGCCAAATGAAAATCTGACTTCAAATTCAGCAGATCTACTTTTGGTCAAACATTCAGTTCATCATAACTACTCTCGATCAAATAAAAAACTAACCTCTGATTCACCGGATCTACTTTCAACAAATGAACATGAAATTTTCAGTTAACCAGATCTGAACTTTCAACCCAATCAAGTTCCAAGCCCAAAGGTAAAATCTCCAATTTGAAGAACAACTTACGAGAAAAGAAGAAAATATTTTATAACCTTGAGATCAAATTTACTACTTGCCCCTTCTTATGTCCCCGATCAGGTACTAGTAGAGAATTGTGGTGTCAATGGATGGGAGAATAGTTGAAAAGGGATTCGTTGGATGGAAAATGGGAGAGAAGACTACAAGGAGCGGGGCTTGGGTGGAATCGAAAACTAATAAAGGGCGGAGGGTTAGGGTAAAACGATGAAGGAGATGACTATGAAAGGAAATATTTTGATGCCCCCCTCCCCCGAAAAGAATTCTACGAGACCAGGTCTCACGCGAGACCCATTCTGATGAATGCCACGTGTCATCCATCAGGACGGGTCTCACCTGCTAACCGTGAGACCTGGTCTTATATAATTTGTCCCCCTCCCCCCCCCCCGCCACCAACCCCGACCCCACCCCAATTAAAAATTTAGCGGACGAGCATTGTTATACTTACGACACTTCTCCATCATATGTATGTACGATAGTCCAAACAACTGCTAGATTCTTGTCATATCATCATTGTCATTCAAAGGCAGTGTCGTACGGAATCGGATGTCCATCGTCATAAGAGTACTTCCATCAGTAGACACCAAAACGCACAAAAGCAACTAAAAAAATACACTTCTGTGATGATATGTATTTGTCACAGTATGTCATGTTTTTTGTCATGCATGTACATCCATGACGATTTTATGACAGAATCAAGATACCATACCTGTGATGTCGTAGAAGTGTTCCATGACATTACCAAAATTATCATCACAGAAGTGTCCACTTCCATGACAATAAATCACACGTCATAGAAGTGCTTTTGTCCAGGGTGACCGACACGTGGCATCCATCATAACGGGTCGTCGTTAAGCTACCGGGTTCCGGTTTGGATCCGATAACCCGTTAACAGCCCCGACCAATGGGGATTTTCCACATGTAAAATTCTCATTCGCCGGATAATGCACGTGTCATCTCATCGTTGGGATAGATGTCATCCCTATAGTGGAAGGAAGACGCTTATTGTCGGGGATATACCCCACGGTATTGTTGGGGAACGTAGTAATTTCAAAAAAATTCCTACGGACACGCAAGATCATGGTGATGCATAGCAACGAGAGGGGGGAGTATGATCTACGTACC